GCTGGGCGAGATGTGTGAGGCGAAGCTCGAGCCTGACGTCTTCTGTTGTAAGTACCCGGAAATCCGCGTGCGAAAAGGGCCATTGCATGCAGACGGCCTTTCCCTGGACGGCTCTGCTTTGATTACTTCGCTCGGGAGGCTTCAAAACTGCTTCCAAGAGAAGGGGCCCGGCGCTCCTGACGCGCACCAGATAGCTTCGCCTTCAACGCACATCCAACAAAACAGTTTTTCTGGTTGCTTCGAATTATTGTTTAACTTGAAGCCCTCTTGGAGCCCTCTTGGGCTCCCCCAGGAGCGCCCTGCCAGCTTCCTCGGCGATCCCAGAACCTTTTGCGAGCTTCTCGGCCGCCCATTCAGTGGCCCAGGAAGGGCCCCCGAGGGCCTCCAATTTATCGATTACCCGAGACGTGCCCAACCCGTTCTCCACGCAGTGTGAATATTTACATGGCCGCTCCGTACAAAAGGACGCATCGCCACACACATGTGCACACACACACACACATATATATATATATGGGAGGTTGGGGGGTGAGTCCGACGTGAAACGGAGACCCCCCATACCGGGAAATCGATTTCGGTTTCGGGTTCGTGTCGTGCGTGCCGTGCGTGCGTGCGGGCGAGGCGAAGCTGCGTGGGCGGGCGAGAGGAAATGCTCCTGTGGCTGGGCCGCGGCCGGACCAAATGTTTCTCCTCCGGCGGCCGGTGGCCCGCGGTGTCCCGCCGGTGTCCCGCTGGTGTCCCGAAATCCTCCTGTGGCTGGGCCGCGGCCGGACCAAATGTTTTTCCTCCGGCGGCTGGTGGCCCGCGGTGTCCCGCCGGTGTCCCGCTGGTGTCCCGAAATCCTCCTGTGGCTGGGCCGCGGCCAGACAAAATGATGCTCCTCCCGTCAAACGGTCCTCGGTGTCCCGCCGGTGTCCCGCTGGTGTCCCGCTGGTGTCCCGCCGTGGCTGCGGCGAGCTATCCAATGCAAGTCTACATGCAAACCGACATGCAAACCGAAAAGCACATCGAAATGTAAATCGACATGCACATCCAAATGCAAATCGTAAGGCGCCGTGGGTTTCGCATTTTAAAAAATCGGCGCCTGCGGCGAGCTTTCCAATGCAAGTCGACATGCAAATCGAAATGCAGGTCGCCAAGCAAATCGACATGCACATCGATATGCACATCGAGTGCGCTTCGTCAACATCGCCACATCACTTCACGCTCACGATCACAATCACACTACTCACTAGACTGCGCACCAGAGGCATTTCAGAACAACAATCACCACTGTTGCCCATTGCTGGCCCACCCCTCCAATCTCCTTATCACCCGCAGGGTGGTCGTATAGGTGTATATATAGATATATACATACATTCCCCAATCAGAGCTTGCCTCTGTAGGGTTCCTAGCGGATTTACTCGCCAATCAGAGCTTACTTCTGTAGAGGTCCTTGCGGATTCATATGGTTAGGTGAGGTATGGCGCCGATTCTGGCGGCACGCCCGGGTGCCCGGGTGCCCGGGTGCCTGGATGCCTTGGTGCCCTATAGCCCTATAGCCCTATAGACTTATAGCCTTATAGCTCTGTAGTCCTATATCCCTCTAGCCCTATAGCCCTATAGTACACTAGCCCTATAGCCCTATAGCCCAATAGCACTATGGCCTTATAGCCCTATAGCCCTACAACCCTACAGCCCTATAGCCCTATAGCCCTATAGCCCTATAGCCCTATAGCCTCATCACCCTATAGCCCTACAGCCCTATAGCCTCATCACCCTATAGCACTATAGCCCTATAGCCCTATAGCCCTGTACAGCCCTATAGCCCTATAGCCCTATAGCCCTATGGCCCTGCACCCCTATAGCCCTATAGCTGTATAGCGCTATAGCCCTACAGCCCAATAGCCCTATCGCCCTACAGCCCCATAGCCTTATAGCCCTATAGCCCCTATAGCCCTATAGCCCCTATAGCCCTATAGCCCAATCGCCCTATAGCCCTCTAGCCCTAAATCTCTACAGCCCTGTTGCGCTATAGCCCCATATCCCTATAGCCCCATAGCTTTCTATGCCTATAACCCTATAGCCCTATAGCCCCATAGACCTGTAGCCCTTTGGTCCTAGAACCCTATAGCCCCATAGCCCTACAGCCCTAAACAGATTTTGGTTGGTTTCTCCGGTACCACATATATATATATATATAAGATACAAAACACGATCTGCACTGCCCTCATCTCGGCCGTGCCTCCCAGGAGCCCACGAATGGCGACAATTGCGCACTTCGTCGCCTCCCAGGGGGCCCCGAGGTCTCGGCGACAATTGCGCACTTGGTCCCCAACTCCGCTGGACCTCCCAGGAGCCCACGAAAGTGGCGACAGTTGCACAGTTCGCAGCCATCCAGGGAGCAGCGAAGGTCGCGTCTGGGTCCGCGTACTCCCCGACTCCGCCGTGCCTCCAGGGGCCCGCGGTAGTGGCGCCAGTTGCGCAATTCGCAGCCACCCAGGGAGCAGCGCAGGACGAGGGAGAGGAGGAAGAAGGCGGGAGGAGATGGAGACCAGAGCGCTCTATTCAGAATGAGAACGCAACGCAGGATGGTTGCCAATCAAGCAGGAAGCAGACGGCAGGAGGAGAGAGGCGGGGAGGAGAAGGGAGGCGGGAGAAAGCGGTGGGTACTACGGTGCGCTATCCACATCGAGAGCCCAACACAGCAGGGTTGATAAACATCTGGCAAGACGGCACGTCCGACCCATCGGCGTTTTTTTGTTGGGGGGGGGGGGGAGGGAGGGACAATTCTTGCGAAATTGTATGCCATCTTGGAGCCCCCTTGGGCTCCCCCTGGAGTGCCTTGCGAGCTTCCTTGGCGATCCCAGTACCTTTTTGCAAGCCTCTCGACAGCCTCATCAGGAGCACCCGAGGCGCCTCAGAGGGCCTCTATTTTACCAACACCCTGACGAGACGGCACGTCCGACCCAACATCAGCAGCACACTGTAGCAACAAGCAGCAAGAGCGCGCAGCAGCGATCAGTGAGCAGTACGAACAGCACGCAGCATCGGCAGCAAGCGGCAGCACGCAGCACCATGCGCGGACTGCGAAGTTCGAGCCTCACGCCATCATGTGAGCCTTTCGGCAGCATGCCCACCAGCACATGCCAGCTCGCGCAGATTTCGTGGACGTAGTCCACGGGTCGGCCCTACAGTGCCGTTTTTAATTCCCAACCATCCTGTGGTGTTGGGTCCTCGTTTTGAAGAGACGGCGCCCCGCGTTCCCCACCTCCTCCTCCTCCCCCCCTCCCTCCTCCCATCATCATCATCATCATCATCGTCATCATCATCATCATCATCATCATCATCATCATCATCATCATCATCATCATCATCATCATCATCATCATCATCATCATCATCATCATCATCATCATCATCATCATCATCATCATCATCATCATCCATCATCATCATCATCATCATCATCATCATCATCATCATCATCATCATCATCATCATCATCATCATCATCATCATCATCATCATCATCATCATCATCATCATCATCATCATCACCACCACCCATTTCGGCACACCCCTCACACGTTTCGTGGCCCCATAGGGAGCTCCACCGAAGGCCCCAGTGGCAGGGTCCGCATGCCTCCCACCACCCATTTCGGCACACCCCTCACACGTTTCGTGGCCCCATAGGGAGCTCCACCGAAGGCCCCAGTGGCAGGGTCCGCATGCCTCCCCACCACCCATTTCGGCACACCCCTCACACGTTTCGTGGCCCCATAGGGAGCTCCACCGAAGGCCCCAGTGGCAGGGTTCGCATGCCTCCCCACCACCCATTTCGGCACACCCCTCACACGTTTCGTGGCCCCATAGGGAGCTCCACCGAAGGCCCCAGTGGCTGCGTTCGCATGCCTCCCACCACCCATTTCGGCACACCCCTCACACGTTTCGTGGCCCCATAGGGAGCTCCACCGAAGGCCCCAGTGGCAGGGTCGCATGCCTCCCCACCCCATTTCGGCACACCCCTCACACGTTTCGTGGCCCCATAGGGAGCTCCACCGAAGGCCCCAGTGGCAGGGTTCGCATGCCTCCCCACCACACATTTCGGCACACCCCTCACACGTTTCGTGGCCCCATAGGGAGCTCCACCGAAGGCCCCAGTGGCAGGGTCCGCATGCCTCCCCACCACCCATTTCGGCACACCCCTCACACGTTTCGTGGCCCCATAGGGAGCTCCACCGAAGGCCCCAGTGGCCTGGTTCGTATGCCTCCCCAACACCCATTTCGGCACATCCCTCACACGTTTCGTGGCCCCATGGGGATTTCCACTGAAGGCCCCAGTGACTGGGTTCGCATGCGCCCCCACACCCATTTCGGCACACCCCTCACACGTTTCGTGGCCCATAGGGAGCTCCACCGAAGGCCCCAGTGGCTGCGTTCGCATGCCGCCCCCACACCAATTTCGGCACACCCCTCACACGTTTCGTGGCCCCACAGGGAGCTCCACCGAAGGCCCCAGTGGCTGCGTTCGCATGCCGCCCCCACACCAACTTCGGTGCACCCCTCACACGTTTCGTGGCCCCATAAGGAGCTCCACCGAAGGCCCCAGTGGCAACGTTCGCATGCCGCCCCCACACCCATTTCGGCACACCCCTCAAACGGTTCGTGGCCCCATAGGGAGATCCACCGAAGACGGTACTCACACCAGCATTACTCACAACTGCATATGGTTGGGTCCTTCGCCAGACTAATACATGCTCCGCGTGCGACCCTACCTAGGAGTTGGAGCCTCTAGGCAAGCAACATTAGTAGGAGCGATAAACGCCGTCCTCCTCCTTCTCCTCATCGGCGTAGTTGTAGCAGTAACGGTAGTCGTAGTAGTAGTAGTAGTAGTAGTAGTAGTAGTAGTAGTAGTAGTAGTAGTAGTAGTAGTAGTAGTAGTAGTAGTAGTAGTAGTAGTAGTAGTAGTAGTAGTAGTAGTAGTAGTAGTAGTAGTAGTAGTAGTAGTAGTAGTAGTAGTAGTAGTAGTAGTAGTAGTAGTAGGTAGTAGTAGTAGTAATAGGTGGTGGTAGTAGTAGTAGTAGTAGTAGTAGCGCCAGAACCGCCGACGCCACGCCGTAAGTGAAGCAGCAGCAGAAGCAGGCAGCAAGTCGCCGAGACAGCAGCAAAAGCAAGCAGGCACGGAGATGAGGTCGGAGATGAGGGCCCAGCAATAGTGGATGCTGTGCTGCGCTATGCTATGCTATGCTATGCTATGCTATGCTGCGCAATGCTATGCTGGGCTAGGCTAGGCTAGGCTATGCTATGCTATGCTATGATATGATATGCTATGCTGCGCCATGCTAGGCTGCGCTATGCTATGCTATGCTATGCTATGCTATGATATGCTATGCTATGCTATGCTATGCTATGCTATGCTTTTGCTTTGCATTCGCTTTTGCCTTCACTTTTGCCTTTGCTTTTGCCTTTGCTTTTGTTTTTGCTTGGCACCCAGGGAGCGCAACTGGGGGAACCGCGCGTTTGCTTTTACCTTTGCTGTTGCTTTTGCTTCGCTCCCAGGGGACTGGGGGAACCGCCCGGGGCGGTTTGCACTGCCCGGCCCCTTTAAGCCAAGCGAGTAAGAACCCTTCTAGGCAGAGCCTAGGTAGGGAACAGCGATGAGTTCATGCATAATTTTAGTCATAGATTAGTCATGTCTAAAAAGCAATTTAAAACAATCCTATGTATTAAAATCTGCCCTGTAGTCTATCCTACAACACCGGGAGCAGCGCGTGGTGCGTTGCTCCGGTGCCAGCGCCCGGGGGGGGGGTGCTGCCGGGAGGGCCCGCCGCGCGGACCTGCGCCTCCCAGACGGCTCGGACGAGTCCAAGGAGAAGCCTCCAAGGTTCGTCGAAGATGCTTCCAACACGGCCGAGGATGGTCTCGAGATGGCTCCAGATGGCGCCCAGACAGCCTCAGAGGGCCCCCAAGATAGCCCAAGACGGCCTCCAGACGGCCGAAAAAGCTTTCCAGAGGGCCCCCGAGAACGCTCCAAGAGCACTCCCAGCAGGGCCCCCCCAGTGCAAACATCCAAGGTTTCCTGCATGTTTTCTCCAACATTTTTAGCATACACGACTTTTGGGCCCTTGCAGCGTCCACGACGGCTCAACAGCCCCCAAGATCGCCCCAAGCCGGCCTACGAGGCTCCCCAAGAGAATCCCAAGGCGTCTCGAGAGAGCCCCAAGACGGCCCAAGACGGTCCAAGATAGCCCCAAGACGGTCCAAGAGGCGCCCAAGACGACCCAAGATGGCCCAACGATGGCCCCCTACAATCTCAAGACGGCCCCAAGAGCGCTCCCAGAGAGCCCGAAGAGGCCCCCCAACGAATGCTACAGCGCACCCCCCTGTTGTAGCATCCGTCGGTCGCTTTCTGGGGGCCTTCTTGGGGCCGTCTTCGGGCCCTTTCGAGCCCCTCTTGGGGCACTTTCGAGTTTCTCCGGATGCTCCCAGAGCCTCCCGCAAGGCTGCAAGACGGCCTAAGAGAGCTGCAAGACAGCTCAGGGAAAGCCCCTAAGACGGTCCACGAGGCGCCCAAGACGACCCAATATGGTCCCGACATGGCCCCGCCGCGTTCCCCTACCAGGGCACCTGCGGATGTGCTCCATGGGTACACACTGGTCAGCTACAGCGCTGGGATCAGCGCGTGCGGGAATGGCGAGCAGTGGCAGCGGGCTTTGGCGCTGCTGAGCGAGATCGTGAAGGTGAAGCTGGAGCCCTGCGTTGTCAGCTACAACTCTGGGATCAGTGCGTGCGGGAAGGGCGAGCAGTGGCAGCGGGCCTTGGTGCTGCTGAGCGAGATTCGGAAGGCAACGCTGGAGCCCGACGTGATGAGCTACAGCTCTGCGATCAGCGCGTGCGGGAGGGGCGAGCAGTGGGAGCGCGCTCTGGCACTGCTGGGCGAGATGTGGAAGGCGAAGCTGGAGCCCGGCGTCGTGAGCTACAGCGCTGCGATCAGCGCGTGCGGGAAGGGCGAGCAGTGGGAGCGGGCTTTAGTGCTGCTGAGCGAGATGTGGAAGGCGAAGCTGGAGCCAGGCGTTGTCAGTTACAGCATTGCGATCAGCGCGTGCGGGAAGGGCGAGCAGTGGGAGCGGGCTTTGGCGCTGTTGAGCGAGATGCGGGAGGCGAAGCTGAAGCCCGACGTGATGAGCTACAGCGCTGCGATCAGTGCGTGCGGGAAGGGCGAGCAGTGGCAGCGGGCCTTGGCGCTGCTGGGCGAGATGTGGAAGGCGAAGCTGGAGCCAGGCGTCGTCTGCTACAGCGCTGGGATCAGCGCGTGCGGGAAGGGCGAACAGTGGCAGCGGGCCTTGGCGCTGCTAAGCGAGATGCGGGAGGCGAGGCTGGAGCCCAACGTCGTCTCTACTACATTGTAGTGACTCCTGCGGGTGAGGGGGGCCAGGGACTCGATTCAGTCGTCGGCGCCCACGGGAGACCCTGGCAGCTTCCACCGGACCTCCGCATGGGCCCTGGAAATTTGCGACCGGCCTCGGGGCGTCTCCGAGACGGTGCCGAGGGCTCAGGCGGAAATCATGTCATTCCTGTGAGTTTGTGAGCGCTTTCACCGTTTCCCATGTCTCGGCTGCGGATCTCTCCGCAGAGGGCTCCAGACACCTTGGAGAGGACCCCTGCGGTCCTTTTTTTGGCCCCCAGGAGGGCCCTGCTGGCCCCCAAGATGGCCGCAGGACGGCCCCGAGACGGCCCAGGACCGCCCGGAGATGGCCCGAGAACACCTCTCAGGCGCCCTAGGAGATGGAGGACGAGGAGGAGGAGGAGGAGGAGGAGGAGGAGGAGGAGGAGGAGGAGGAGGAAGAGGAGGGAGGAGGAGGAGGAGGGATGGGGAAGAGGAGGAGGAGGAGGAGGAGGAGGAGGAGGAGGAGGAGGAGGAGGAGGAGGAGGAGGAGGAGGAGAGGAGAGGAGGAGGAGGAGGAGGATGAGGAGGAGGAGTATTGACGGGAGGACCCCAAGGGAGCCCAAGAAGGCCCGATCCGAGTGGCCTTTGAGAGATGGTTCTCTCGCTGGTGCCTGCTACGTTCGCCGCATTTCATGTTCACCCGGGAGCCTGCGCCCAACGGAACGACGCGGTCGCCGCACCTGTGGCTGTGGTGGGCGTATCCTTGTACCAATTCGCTGCGGGGTTTGCTAAATTACTGTGTGTTCCGTCGAAGATCGGTGCTCTCCCCTCAGCGCCGACCGTAGCCCCGCAACAGAAAAAGTGGTGCTCCTCCCCCGCAGCGTGTGCCGCCTTGATCTCCATCGATTTTTCATCTGCGGCGCTGGCCGCCTCCTGCTTCCGCATATGCTCCGTGCCTCCAGAGGAGTTGCTTTTCTGTGCCGTGCTCTGCTGTATGTGTAGCTGGGTGTCGGGAAAGACACCTGGGGTCACTGATTTTCCCGACGCCCGACTCTGCGAATAGACAGGGTTTCAACGCAGTGGACGGGGACGGGGGGAGGGCAGGACGCCAGATATGGCGCGAGCGCGCGTAGCTTGGCTTGCTCCTCTCTTCTCACTCCTCCCTGCCCCTCGCAACTCTCTTCTGGCCCTCTGCTCCTTCCTTTTGGCTGCTCGCACCTCTCTCCTCCCTCCTCGGCTCTCCCTCATCCTTGCTCGCCCCTCTCCTCTGCCGTCGCTCCTCCCTTCTCGCTCCTTTTTCCTCGCTCCCTGCTGATCGCTCCTAGCAGTCAGCAGCACACAGTATCAAGCACGCGGCATCGACCAGCACCAAGCATCAGCACGCAGTACCGCAAAGCCGCGTCACGCAGCAGCACGTGATGGCGAACACCAGCCCGTGCCTGCGAGAAAGAACATACATATCATGTAGAAGTTACGGCAGGCAGCGCCAACCATGCTGACAGGCAAACAATGAATCAAGCAACACGGAAAGCATGCGATCCGGCCAAAAGCTACCAGGTCACCAGGCAAGCGATCCTCGCCCTCGCATGTGATTCCCCTTCTTGCACGATGGTCTACGGAGCTCCCATGGCAGCTTCCCGGCGCTCTTCCGAGCCCTTCCCTCCTCGCTCCTTTTTCCTCGTTCTTAGCTACCCTCACTTCTCTCTGCTCGCTTCTCTCTCCTGGTCCCTCGCTCCTCACTCCTGGCTGCAAGTGCATTGCTCATACCTCCTCGCACCTCCGTACCTTCCATTCCACGCGGCCCTATCAAGGCCCCAAGACCGCCCCAGAGAGCCCCGCGAAGGTTCTTTTCTCTCTCTGAACTGGCTTTTCCTCGCTCCACCTCGCTCCTCATTGCAAATAAGTTGCTCGTTTCTCGATGCTCGCGCCTCGAGCACGACGTCCCCATGAATGACCGTCGGTAACTTTTCCGCCATCACACCACGTGCCAATTCGTGCAGATTTGGTAGTCCACGTGTCAGCCCTAGTCTATCTATACTACAATGCCGGGGGCCGTGCGCGCCAGAATGCCGCAGGATCAATGTAGTCAAAACCGCCCCAGGCTGGCCCCGGGCCGCCGAAGGACTCCCAGGGAGGCTCCAAGACACGCCAAGAGGGCCCCAAGAGGCCCAAGTCGGCCCGAGAGGTTCCAAGGTGCTCCATGAGACCTCCCCAGAAGCTCCCGCAGCAGGCCCCGAGCAATAATAAATATACATTTTTTTGCTTTTTGCAGCGTTTTTGCCGCTCTCGCCTTGTTGGCTTTCAGACGATCCACCAACGCCCAAGAGGTTCCCAAGACGGCTCCCGCACGGCCGAAGAGGCTCCAGAGAGAGCTCGAAGACGGGCCCAGAGGGCCCCCCAGTCCGCTCAACAGGCCCCCAGATGGGCCCCAGACGCTCAAGATTGGTCCAAGATTGGTCCAAGCTCGCCCGAGATGTCTCCAAGGTGCTCCATGAGACCTCCCCAGAAGCTCCCCCAAAGGGCCCCGAGCAAGAAAACCATAGATTTTCATGTTTTTTTGCATGGTATTCTCCGTCCTCGCCTTGCCGGCTTCCACACGATCCACGACCGCCAAAGAGGTTCCCAAGACGGCTCCAAGACGGCCGAAGAGGCCCCCAAGAAAGCCCCAAGACGAGCCCATAGGGCCCCATGACGGCCCCACAGGCGGCCAGGACGGCCCCGGAGGCGGCCAGGAGAGCGCAAACTGCCGCCAAGACGGTTTCAAGAGAGGCCCAACAGAGCCAGGAGGCCCCAAGAAGCCTCCAGGACGCCCCAAAAAGCCCCCGACGGGTTCCGGCAGACCACCAAGGGGCGCCCAAGAGATCCCAACAGGTCCCCGAACGGCTCCCAGGAGACACTGCGAGCCTTCCGACAGAGGTGCTCATCAGAGGCGAAAGGCAACTCTCAGACCCAAAAGAACCGTCTTGGACGACACTGCGAGGGCCTTAGATGTTTGTTTTCTCCGCAGCTTCGTCGTCTCCTCGATGGCCGATCTTGAAGCCATGTGAGGACGTCCACGCCCCCCCACGCTCACCCCGGGCGTGCCAGAGGCATTTTGCCACATAGGGGCCTTCCATGGCAGAATGGTGGGCGCGCGCTCGGCGGCGTCCTCGGTGCCTCTGGGTCGCTTTAGGGGCTCTCCTGAAGCTCTCCTTGCCCGATATGCTGTGCTATTCTGCTCCCCCAGGGGCCTTGGCAGACTCTCCGAGTCAACCAGACCAGACCCTTGGGACAGCAGCCAATTGATATGACCCAGGGACCTTTCCGCACTCTTCGGACGAGCACCTGGGGGGCCCAGGAGATTCGGACAAGTCTCCCACATTCCTTGCCCTGTCCCGTTCTGTACGCTCGAGGCCTCCACAGACCCTCTGGGCGAACGGAATGGGACAGGGCGAACACACCCTCCCGTTGGCGGCGGGAGTGACTTATGGCAGCTTCGAGCCGCTGAAGAGGGCGTCCCGACGGCCCCGCGACGGCTCCGAGACGCTCCAGAGGCCGCCCCGACGGTCCAAAGAAGGCTCCGAACCGCTAAAGAGGGCGCCACGACGACCCCAAGACGGCTCCGAGTCATTCCAGAGGCCACCCCGACGGCCCCAGGGGCGCTCCGAGCCGCTCAAGAAGCTGCTCCGACGGCCCCAAGGGCCCCCAGGACAGGCGAGCAGCCTCCGAAGACGGCCCTCGAGGATTCCACAGGACAGCCCCGAGACGCGCAAATCGTCCCAGTCCCGTCGGGGAACTGATATTTGTCGCATTCTCGTGCTCGTCGTCTCCGACGCGTCCACGACGGCCACAGAGCCCCCCATGATCGGCCCAAGATGCCCCTACCAGGGCTCCAAGACGAAGACAGCCACAAAGAAGACAGCCCCACGAGCCGCTCAAGACGGTCCAAGACGGCCCCCAGACCGCCCAAGAGGCGCCCGAGACGGCCTAAGACGGTTCCGAGACGGCCCAGACGACACCGACGAGAGCCCAAGAGGGCCTCCAGAGGCCCCCTCGAAGCCGAGGGGCTGACCGCCATGTGGATAGCTCTTCGGCAGCATTCCCGCCGCTCCCCCGAGAATGCTCTCGGCCAGATGTCGTGGACGGAGTCCACGGGTCAGCCCTAGTCACCTACAGTGCTGGAATTAGTGCTTGTGAGAAAGGCAGGCAGTGGCAGCGGGCCCTGTCGCTGCTCAGCGACATGTGGGAGGCGAAGCTGGTGCCGAACTTGATCAGCCGCAGCGCTGGGGTACTGGCTTGCGACAGAGGTGGGCAAGGGCAACAGGCGATTTGGTTGCTCACAGAGACGTGGAATGCGAAGCTTGAATCCAACGTCGCTAGCTTCAGTGATGCAATGATTACTGCAATGCGCAGGTAAATGCGGAGCAGGGTCGATTACAATCCTGGAGCCAAGACGTGCGAGGACAAGCAGTAGGGAGGGAACGGTAGGTCGAGGATGAGGGTTAGGATGAGGAGGAAGTTGATGAGGCAACGCACGAATAACAGAAACAGGATGTGAGGAATACGACGTGGAAGAGGAGGAGAAGCAGCAGGTGGCAGCGGAGGAGGAAGCTGAGGAGGAATGGGATGTTGCTGCTGATGATGCTGTTGCTGCTGATGCTGCTGATGATGCTGCTGATGCTGATGATGCTGCGGCTGATGATTATGATTATTATGACGGTGATGCTGATAATGCTGATGATGATGCCGCTGCTGATGATGAAGATGATTCTGATGATGGTGATGGTGGTGTTGATGATGATGATGATGATGATGATGATGCTGATGATGATGATGATGCTGCTGATGATGATGATGATGATGTTGCCGATGCTGATGATGATGCTGACGATGACGACGATGGTAATGCTGCTGCTGATGATGATGATGCTGATGATGATGCTGATGCTGATGATGAAGATGCTGATGATGCTGATGATGCTGCGGCTGATGATGACGAAAAGGAGGAGGAGGAATGTCGGAAGGAGGGGGAGTGGCTAGGATGCGTGATAGTGGTGATTGCCATTGCTTTTAAAGAAGAGGAAGATGAGTAGTAGTAGTAGTAGTAGTAGTAGTAGTAGTAGTATTAGGAGGAGGAGGAGGAGGAGGAGGA